AAGCACTAAGTATTCATAGTATTTATCGCTGGATTGAATCATTTGAAAGTGGTGATGAAAACATTAAAGATGATTCATGTTCTGGATGCCCAAAAGAAATTGTCACCCCAAAAAATGTTGCAGAAATTGAAGAACTTATTGTTGAAGACATATATCAATTAAAACATTAGAGGAATTAATGGGTATTTCTACTGAGAGAATTCATTATATTTTGCATAATGAATTGGAAGTTTCAAAAGTATGTGCAAAATGGGTCCCACATGTCTTAACTGAAGAAAATAAGGAAAAAAGAGTTGAACTTTCTGAACAGCTTTTAGAAATTTTGGAGAAGGGTTTTAATAACATAGTCACTGGTGATGAATCTTGGTTTCACTACTTTACAGTTTCAAGCAAAGAGGCTAATAAAGTTTGGATAAGTAAAGGTGAAAGCAGAACACAAATCACAAGGACAGCACAAAACAGCAAAAAACAAATTTTCTGCATTTTTTTCTCAACAGAAGGGATTGTGACTAGAATTGTGGTACCAAAATGACAATCAGTTAATGCTAAATACTATAGTAATATCATTTTGCCAGATGTATTTTCAAATTGGAAGGTAATGACAAACAAAAAAACTGTAAAAACTTTGATGTTGCATCATGACAATGCATCATCACACAAGGCAAAAATTGTAGCAGAATTTTTGGAGGAAAACAAAGTAACTGTACTGCCTCACCCACCCTACAGTCCAGATCTAGCACCATGTGACTTTTTTCTATTTCCTAAAATAAAAAAAGAATTGGGTGGAAGAAAGTTTGATAAGGTGGAAAATCTTGCATGTGCTATCCAGTCAATTGCTGATAATATCCCAAAAGAGGAATATCACAAATCTTTCCAGGAGTGGCAAAGAAGGCTGAAATGTTGTATAGATGCCAATGGGAATTATTTTGAAGGAATGGTATAAGTTTTTGGAAATGGAATAAGCTTTTGGAAATTGTATATATGTTGACTGAAATACAAATCCAGTCTATGTAATTTTTAAAATTTAATATCTCAATAACTAGCCAATAAAAAAGGGCAAACTTTTTTTTATTTGAAAGATAAGAATGACTAATTTTTATAAAAATATTTTCAAACTCATTACGTTTAAAATCATAAAATTACATGGTTTTACAAAAAAATTTCCAGTTGTTTTTACTAATGAACTTTAAAATTCAATATCTCAGTAATTAGTAAATAAAAAAAACCAATCTATTTTTTATTTGAAAAAGGAATAGAGTGTCTTTTATTTAAAAAAAAATTTAAATTAATTATACTCAAAATTATAAAGTTACAGGACCAGTGACAAAACTTTTCAAATGCCCCACGTATATTAATAAATTTAAAGTTGAAACTATATGTGTGTATATATACATATACATACATATATATATATATATATAATAATGAATAATTTTTACATTAATTTATAAACTTTCCCTAGCAAAATTCTATTCTTAATACGTAATAATATATAGAAAGCATACCTAAGTGACTGGGTTCTGTAATTACTTGTAAAAAATAATTATTTGTTTCAATCAATACGAATGACAATTTTCTACACATGAGATCATAGAAACAAAAAAAAAACTAAGGTTGTGATTATCTACGGTTTTATTAACAACCTGCCTCAAAAATTTTCATGAAATAGATGTATACTATAAAGAAACTATATATCAAATTTGGTGATGATTGCTAAACAACAAGGGCATTAAACTGGGGTTTGAAAGTATTCAATTGTAAATTTTACTATATATTACTATGAAAAATTCGATGCCGATCATCAAAATTTACTATGTTTTTGCAGTAGAAATAAATTTTTGTGACATGTCCTACGACTGATACGGTTATGGTTATTTTTTTGCAGTAAAAAAAAGAAACAAAAAAGTTAAAAGAGAAGGTAAAGGGAAATTGTATACATATAGATAGGGAACTTGGAAATGGATTAAAAATATAATTTGACCTGCAATATTAATTGTATATATTAAAAGAATTGGTTAATTGATTAGAATTTTGTTTTATTTAGTAGGGTGAAAATGAGAATTGAAGAATCCTACATGAACATGAAAATAAACAAATATTAAGATAAATATATTTATATATGATTATAGTTATGTTAAGAATTTAAAGAATCAGATTTTGACGCAGCATGGATGATATTGTTTATATTTCCACCTAATTAAAAAAGTCATTAGATATTATGGTTGTTATTATTACAATCTTTGCTATAAATATAATATTCATGGATAATAAATATAGTTAAAACTTACGTTCATCATGATGTGTTTCAAAATCCCGGCTGAATTTCCTATTTAATCAAATAAATTAGCAAAAAAAAACGATAAAACAAATTATTTTTCAAATAAATATTTATTCTTACCAATCACCGTCCACAATAAATTTAAATTCGTGTTGTTTAGTACTATCGATATCAATCATAGCAACAAAATTATTTGTTTTTGGAATCCTTTTCATTTCATGTTTAGATGCTATAAAACAATAAACAATAATGTTAATATCATATATTAACGTGATTACGATCTTTGGATCGTCAAAGAATCAGCTCAATAATCCAAACCGCATGCACATTTTTTCGTACCTGACCAATTGTTAAAGTCACCAGTAACAAAGACTTTGTTACCGCCATCTTTCCAATGGAACTGTAAATAAGTAAATGAGAATTATAATTACACCACATTGTATAATTTTAAAGTATTATGTCTCACATTTTTTCAAATATTTACCGTGAATGGTACAATGTTAGAGTTCTTGCTTCTATTAATACGAGAAGTTTTAATTTCAGAATTTGGTACAATATTGTGAATTGATCTTCCTTCATTGACCGATTGATATTCTTTTCCCCCATTTTCATCCGATTTCAATTCGGTAAGAGTTCCAGTAATTACTTCACTTTTATTATTATTACTATTGTCATTATCATTGCTATCAACGGTATTTTTTTCTGAAAATTTTTCTACAATGGGATTATTATTTTTAATTCTTAGTTTTATCGTTGTTAGAAACATTTTTAATGGTAATTTTACCTTTTTTTACGTGAACTTGTTCGCCCTTAATCAAACATAAAAGATGCAACAAGATGGTCAATACTAGATTTAAGAATATCCTAAGAATTTTATCTGAACAATAACTTAATATTTTTGAAAGTGCCATTTGAAGTAAAAAAAATTTTGAGAACGCGTGTACATATAATAACGAAAAAAATTAATTTTGAAAAAAGGAAAGAAAGAGCGTGTTTAAGATAACGGAAATATGTTTTCCTAATGTACGTTAGTATTTATATATATGCGTTTATTTATTTGTTAAAAAAACAAAAAATTTTACATTCGAGAAAAACAATTTATAATTTTCTAAAAGTTGGGGAAAAAAATATATATGGTATATTTTTTATTTTATTTTATTTATTATAAATACGATATTTTGTACAATGTGAAAAATTACATTCGTCATAATTATCATATTTTAATACTAGATTCTTACTGTTATCTCTATATCTTTTAAGATAAAAATATAAATATTATATAAACGAAATAAACAACAAATTGCAAATTTTTCCTTATAAAGAATATCACACAAAAATATCCGAATTTTATTAGGTAATATAATTGGTCGAAACTGAATATCTTCGCCAAAAGGAAACAAATACACGTGACCGTGGAGATTTTGTGTGTGACATTCCTTTTTTTAGTATATCCAAATCTCTACTATTAATTTACCCATACCTTAGCCGGTTACATTAATACTTAGTCTACATGCCGAATAGAGGTTTCAGCATATTTAGAAATAAATTTGGCGATTACGAATATTTTTACGGATAACTAAATAAATACTAAGGACATGGTGAACCTAATTCTTTTTATTATTCCAAAAAACAGACTTATTTTGTTTCACGTAATAATGTTTCGATGTGATATTATTCACTCTAAGTTGTCCATCATTGTATAACATTTTTACACTATTACAAGATAGTCTTTTTGTTAACGCTGATTATTTGTGATTATTTAACAACTACGGCAGATTATGACTTAGCTTTGGGCTACTCTTGTCAGTTAATTCACAACAATTTGGTGCTTGTCAATCAGTTTTCGAATTTATCTATAAAGTTTTGGCGAATCAGTAGCAACTCAATGGCACAGTAAATAGACAAAGATGACTCTTTTACAAAACCCAAAAGCCTCTATAAAGTTCCCTTGACCAATTCATTTCAGTCTTGTTATTTATATTTATTGTCGCTTTGGTTTATTTACCAATACAACTTGAACAGCTCATTTAACAGTCTTACATTTACAATAACGATTCTATTAGAATAATACTACCAGTAACCTTTGGAAAATGCTTCACTAAAGCAAATAACATTTACTAGCCGTTGTTAAATTAACACTCAAGAGTTACCCAACGTTAATCCTAACTTTTACTTACTAAATCAAATAAAACGTGGCCTTTT